TTGTTTTTTTTAACACTTTTTTTAGTGGTAACTGAGTGTGTTGTTTCTCAGGTGAGGTGCCTATCCTGAACGTGAGCTACAAACCACAGAAGATCAGCCCCAAATTTAAAGTGAGTTTGAGTTCGTTTTGATCCGTATGATGTACATCAGTCTGCAGGAATCGTGACGTTCGGTGTGTTTTCAGGGCAGCGTTCGAGCCCTGCTGCACGATAAGATCAGAGACGCGTACACACACCCTCAGTTCGTCACTGACGTTATGAAGCCCATGCAGATTGAAAGCATCATCGACCAGGACGTGAGTACACCAGCGTTAAAAATAGCTCTAAAATATTTTATCGCCACATTGCACGGTTGTATTCCAAGTAGGCAGTATGTACATGTAATTAATCTGTTTACTTTCCGGTTGTTTGGTACGATAAAGGTCTTAAGGAGTTTGTCTTAGTCTTTACATTAAAATAAGGAATTGAATTCAATCTCATTAATTTCATTGTTCTGAATTTGAAAATTGTTCCTCAATTGTTGTTTTTTATTCTTGGCTTTTATTTATCAAAAAAAATCTAATTACATTTTTTAAGTTTATGTATGTATAATTTTAGAATTTCAACATTTCAAAATAAATTTAAGTCTTAAATATTTTAAATATTCTATTATTATTTAACTGGGATTTATTTGATACTGTTACACCTTTAAAACTGTTGTATAATTTAAAATTTAGAAAATTTTCAGTTTTTAATTTAATGTGAAGTTTTAGTAATTTTAGTTATCAGTTTTTAATATTTCCGTTTAGCTTTAGTTTTTTTTCAGTTTTTCTAATTTTAGAAGTTTAACACCCTTAGTACTATTATAGTATTTATCAATATTTTGAATTGGCTTTTATTTTTATATTTTCATTCTGAATTTATTTAAAAAAAAATTTGTAATTTTGTAATTTGTCTCGTTTTTCTATTTAATATTTCTATTTAACTTAAATAGTTTTTGTTAACAATAACAACACTTAAGTACACCACACAGTTTAATAGATTATTACATGCTTATTCAAACACACTGATTGTGTGTCTGCAGATCCAGAATCTGTCTGGCGGTGAGCTGCAGCGTGTGGCTTTGGCTCTGTGTTTAGGAAAACCTGCGGATGTGTATCTGATCGATGAGCCGTCTGCGTATCTGGACTCTGAGCAGCGTCTGATGGCTGCCAGGGTCATCAAACGGTAACATCTGCAACACTTTCATGGCAGTTTTTGTGTGTTGGATTCACTATTTCACTGATTCTTTTCTTTAATTGCTGTGCAGATTCATCCTTCACGCAAAGAAGACTGCGTTTGTGGTGGAGCACGACTTCATCATGGCCACTTACCTGGCGGACCGAGTCATCGTCTTCGACGGAATTCCATCCAGAAGCACTACCGCCAATACGTACGTCCTTTATTTGCTCTGATAACCTGTGTGTAATTGGTATTACATTTAAATGAACAAATGTATAGAAAAGACATATATTTTCTGTATTCCAAGTATTGTATCATAGGTCTATGAACATGTAGGTGATTATGAAACTCATGTTAATGCTGAAATGTGTTTCCCATCAGTCCACAGACTCTGCTGGCTGGCATGAATAAGTTTTTATCGCAGCTGGAGATCACGTTCAGAAGAGACCCAAACAACTTCAGACCAAGAATTAACAAACTCAATTCCATTAAGGTAAACATGCACATTGAAACAACACTGTACAAATTAAATCTGCAGATTGTTTCCTTCAGGATTACATTTAACCAGTGTTATTTTATTATCACTGAGAGAATATTATGGTTTTTATGAATATTTTGAATTAGGTTTTATTTTTTTAATTTTAAAGTTTGAGTTTAGTAATTTTGTTTTTGACATTTTTAGATGCGTCAATAGTTTTTTTTTTTGTTGAAGTTTTACTTATTTTAGTATCAAAAATAAGTATTAAACTAAAAGAAAATGGGTCTTGGCAACTATATGAAATACAGTAAGTTTATTATTATTTTTTATGTTTTATTTTATTTCAAGTATTTTTATGGTTTTAGTTGAACTATAATACCCCTGCATTTAACCCAAAATTAATTAGGCTTTAGACTGAATTGACAACTCTTGATAATGAAGTTAAAATCAAGTAGTCAGGTCGTGTGTGTGTGTGTGTGTGTGTGTGTGTGTGTGTGTGTGTGTGTATGTATATATATATATGGTTGTTTGAAGCAGCTTCACAGTAATAAACAAGAAAATAACAGTATTAATATTTAGCTATAAAGCTGCTCTACAGAGGACAATAGTGTCATTATTAAATTAAGTTTAGTGTTGACAAAACAATTTTTGGATTGCGACCATCTCGAAGCCTAGTGAGCCTCTTGGCTAGACAGCATTTTTGGGCCTCCTAATAGGGGTTTCATACTTCTGAACCTCCATAAATGCTGTCGAAATATGTGGCTTATTTGATGGTCTTGATATAGTGTCATTATGTGGCCATTAGCTTTGTACCTGTTAATTAAAAACCTGTATTCTGCTTTCGTCTTTAAGGATGTGGAACAAAAGAAGAGTGGAAACTACTTCTTCCTGGATGACTGAAGGTCCTATTTCACAGAATTCCATAAATTTAGCCGCTCAATACGACATCGGACCAGCGAACGCTGGCATTGTGGACTTATATGTTTACTGAATTATCGCCACCATCACCACTTCAAACATACAGCTCTGCTCCTCTCCTCTTGGCCATTGGTATGATTCCACAAAGAGACGAGATGGATCCTCTGAGATGAGGAGAGGACATTATTTGAGAATAAAACCTTAAATGTTTTTGGGTTAATTATCGTTATTAACAGCTTAAGTTCTTTCTGGTCACAAAGTAATGGGAACCAATTTACACATGCCAAACATGCAACTGTATGTTTTGAATAAAATATTTGAATCATGTTACACGATGTGTTACATATTAAATAACCCGATTTCTCAAGATTAGGCTTTTGCCTTCGGCAGTCTTGTAAAGATGCAACTGAAACCGTTCGATATTAAAACGCACTACCAGCTACACAAAACCTGTTGTGTCAATGATATTGGGTGACAAGTCTGTGCAGTGCAGAGATTGTTTTGGAATAAACTGACTTTAAATGGAAAGACTGCAACTGAGGAAGATTGGCTTGTATTTGGTGTCACAACTACATGTACGGAATTGCAGTTAAAATTGGCTTGATGTTCTTTAGCTTTTGTTTGGTGTCCAAACTACATCTTTCTGTATGTACTTTATTTCCTCTGATAAGAGAGCATATTTGACACAAAAGGCTCTGAGGAATATATAGTCCAGTCAAGCAAATGGGAGTTGTACTTGCATGTCTATTGCCTAAATATATTAAAGGGAACTGCAACTGTAAAATGAAAAGACAATATATTCTTAGGCTTTTTATTTCATGTATAAATGAGAAAGAGAAAACTGAGAAAGATATTCTTAAATCTTTTATTTGGTGTTAAAACCACATCTTTGGATCAGAAATGTATTTTATTGCAGGCATTTGGCATCAACATTCATTCAGCAGATACCCCAGAACCCTGCTGGGGGGATGATGGTGCGCAATAAAGAAACAGTCAGAAACTCAATCAAAACCAAATTTTCAACAACAAAAAAAAAGAAAAACTTGACAAAAAAAAGGCACTTTCCTGCGTCCGGTGATATTACACCATTAATTGAACTGAATTGTTTACGAGCTTTTCAGGAAAAATCTGACTTTTAGGACAGTCCTCTGAGAACCAGTCTAAAAAATACCCACGTTAAAAGATGCAAATAAAGATTTCGGTGTTTACAGGAAGTGCACATAGATCTGATAAGTTGTATGCAATATAAAACCAATATTTTTCCCTTTTGCTGTGCATGTAGGCAGCATTTTTGGGCCTCCTAATAGGGGTTTCATACTTCTGAACCTCCATAAATGCTGTCGAAATATGTGGCTTATTTGATGGTCTTGATATAGTGTCATTATGTGGCCATTAGCTTTGTACCTGTTAATTAAAAACCTGTATTCTGCTTTCGTCTTTAAGGATGTGGAACAAAAGAAGAGTGGAAACTACTTCTTCCTGGATGACTGAAGGTCCTATTTCACAGAATTCCATAAATTTAGCAGCTCAATACGACATCGGACCAGCGAACGCTGGCATTGTGGACTTATATGTTTACTGAATTATCGCCACCATCACCACTTCAAACATACAGCTCTGCTCCTCTCCTCTTGGCCATTGGTATGATTCCACAAAGAGACGAGATGGATCCTCTGAGATGAGGAGAGGACATTATTTGAGAATAAAACCTTAAATGTTTTTGGGTTAATTATCGTTATTAACAGCTTAAGTTCTTTCTGGTCACAAAGTAATGGGAACCAATTTACACATGCCAAACATGCAACTGTATGTTTTGAATAAAATATTTGAATCATGTTACACGATGTGTTACATATTAAATAACCCGATTTCTCAAGATTAGGCTTTTGCCTTCGGCAGTCTTGTAAAGATGCAACTGAAACCGTTCGATATTAAAACGCACTACCAGCTACACAAAACCTGTTGTGTCAATGATATTGGGTGACAAGTCTGTGCAGTGCAGAGATTGTTTTGGAATAAACTGACTTTAAATGGAAAGACTGCAACTGAGGAAGATTGGCTTGTATTTGGTGTCACAACTACATGTACGGAATTGCAGTTAAAATTGGCTTGATGTTCTTTAGCTTTTGTTTGGTGTCCAAACTACATCTTTCTGTATGTACTTTATTTCCTCTGATAAGAGAGCATATTTGACACAAAAGGCTCTGAGGAATATATAGTCCAGTCAAGCAAATGGGAGTTGTACTTGCATGTCTATTGCCTAAATATATTAAAGGGAACTGCAACTGTAAAATGAAAAGACAATATATTCTTAGGCTTTTTATTTCATGTATAAATGAGAAAGAGAAAACTGAGAAAGATATTCTTAAATCTTTTATTTGGTGTTAAAACCATATCTTTGGATCAGAAATGTATTTTATTGCAGGCATTTGGCATCAACATTCATTCAGCAGATACCCCAGAACCCTGCTGGGGGGATGATGGTGCGCAATAAAGAAACAGTCAGAAACTCAATCAAAACCAAATTTTCAACAACAAAAAAAAAGAAAAACTTGACAAAAAGGCACTTTCCTGCGTCCGGTGATATGATTACACCATTAATTGAACTGAATTGTTTACGAGCTTTTCAGGAAAAATCTGACTTTTAGGACAGTCCTCTGAGAACCAGTCTAAAAAATACCCACGTTAAAAGATGCAAATAAAGATTTCGGTGTTTACAGGAAGTGCACATAGATCTGATAAGTTGTATGCAATATAAAACCAATATTTTTCCCTTTTGCTGTGCATGTAGGAACAAGAAAACAAAAATATTTATAAGATTTTATTACCTATGCAAACACACAATTACATTTTTACAGGGGTTTAGTGAAATAGGAACAGGTGAAACAGTTGCTTTACTTTTAATCAATGTGGGGAGAGAAAATGCCAGAAAACTTAAAAGCATTGTATACATTACTAATCAATATAATTTGCCAAAAGCCACCCAGAAACTCAAAACAACAAATTTTGTGTATCTGATATCGTAAACCAAAAAAAAAGGTGTATATCCAGCATCACAGATATGGTAACTGCATCTCTACTCTTGGCCCTGCACCTCGTCTCATATAATTTCTGTAGAATGACTGGTCATCTTGTCTGCCTCGGCCAGAATAATCTTTCCAGCCACGATGGCTCCTGCCTCGATATCCTCCTCTGTCATCTTGGCCACGTCTTCCTCCACCCCTGTAGGACTGGCTGTAAAAGGACTGAGTGGTGCTGAGATCCACATTGTGAAACTCCATCTCTTCCACCGACCACTTATCATTAGGAGAATAAGGGTGAATGGAGCGAGAAGGGTCTTCTGCAATAAGACCAGCATGAAGGCTCTTTGGGAAGAGTCCCCCTTGTTTTCCTAAGTTCCCATTGGTTAAATGGGTCAATCCTGCCATGTCTCCTTGCAATGGGCCAATCTGAAAAGGTTGTGCAACAGGACAATGTCCACTAAAGGGTGGAGGTTCCATCGTGGCCACTGAAACGGGAATGTCTAAAGGCTTGTAATCACCACCACTCAAATGAGGTTGGCTTCCAGGAAAGCCAGCGGTATTCTGCAAGGACCCAAACTGGGGGTTCACAGACCTCTGGCCATTCCCTTGACCTCTGTCCACTGTTGGAGGAACAAACGGCAAGAAATCCATCCGGCCATGAGGGCCATGGTTTAAGGCTTCAAGAGGCATTGGAAGTTGTATACGGTGGTACCCAACAGATGTCGGCGGATACATCTGATTCCCAGGGGGTGGATAGGGTGGTGCTGAAAACTGCACTGGAGGGTACGACCCAGCATAGGTACTTAGACCAGAGGAAGCTGGCCAGGCCATTGGTGGCAGCGGCATCGGAATGGATACAGGGTGATCATTGTACGCTCCCAACTCTATTGGACCAACAGGGCCGCTACCAGATGCTACAGGTGCAACAGGAGCATGGCTGTCCAATGAGGTGTCAGGGATGGAGCTCAAATTCCGAGGAGGAGAAGGGTTTTCTGGTTGCCATGAAGTCACGGTGGGGTTAGCAGGAGAGTCCGAGGAAGGAGGAGGGCCTCTAAGGTGCATCTGATAGGCTTGGTTTAGCGCACCCAGATAAACGATGGGAGGAAACATCGGCTGAGAGTATGCCTGAGGAAATTGGGAGAGCATTACACTTCTATGTAATTCTATAAACAGTAATAGTCTTTAATAAAGCAACAAATGCAAAGAAGAGTTCTCAAAACAGTGTACCTTGACACCAAGGTTGAAGAAGAACCTGAGGATATTGATATCTGAAATAATACAATGCATTTCAAAGATTAAAATCATTATGAGGAAGACCGACTAAATAAACTTTTAAAAAATGGGTTATATTTGAGAGGATATCTTAAATGTTAACTCATGCTGAAACTGACAGACTAGATAGGGTGGCATTAGGGCTGCACGATACATTGAAAATAATCCGCACCCGATTTGGTGGTTGGCTGCAATTTTTTATGCGCAACTTGTCAGTGAAGTATGGTTGAATGCTGCTGCGTTAAAAGCCAGAGGGCGCTCTCGCACAGAAACTCCAAATATTCCCCGCAGAAGTACCACCATAACATGCGTAGTTCCAGGAAATGCCTATGGGCATCTTTCTATCACTGTTTTTCAAACCTTCTCAGATATTTTCATGATAATAAAGTATATTTATAATGATGATGTTTGATGAGTGTTGCTTTTACAAATGCACATTATAGGAGACTCAAGCAGCACTTCCTACTGATCAAAGAGCCGTGCTTCACGGACATGCTGCGCATAAAAACAATCGCAGCCTTTGCAATATCATAATTGCACACTAGACAGGTTGATTTACGCGAGATTTAGTGTTAATCGCGATTTATCGTGCAGCCCTAGATGGCATAGCAACAAAGACAACAAACAGCTTAAACAAGTACAATTTGCCTGAATATCTAACAATTGGCTGCAAGAATCAACAATGTTGTGGTAGAAGGGAAAGTTTTTTTTTATATACAGTGGGGCAAAAAAGTATTTAGTCAGCCACCAATTGTGCAAGTTCTCCCACTTAAAAA